GGGTTTCTCCAGTCTCTGTCAAGCCAGTAAATCTGGTATTTTTTTTTTTTGTGTTAGAATTTTGTTCTACGTACTTCTCCAGCTCTGTCCAGGACCCTCTGTTGTGATCCTGGTCAGAGCAGTCAGTGGTGGTAGCTGGGCACCATCTAGCTGTACTGGACTCAGTCTAGTGGAGGCCTTGGTAGCTGTGGTCCATTAGTCCTTTGGACTAATCTTTTCCTTGTATCTTGTTCCCTTCATTCACCCTTGCTTCAGAAGAGGTGAGACTAGTGGAGCATCTTAGATGGCTGCTGATAGGCTTTAAAGACCCCAGACGCTACTCACGAAGGTGATTCTAAGATTTTTAATAAACATCATTTCTGTGCCTCTTCTTCACACATGGGAAAAACCCCAAGTTGCTAATGGTATTTTGGAGTTTTTGAAGGCTTCCATTTTGACATTGTCTCATGTTTTTGCCCTAGATTTGATGCAGTAAAATACTGCAAGATTTACAAACTTACAGCCTTCTCCCCATCAGTGCCTTACTTAGCTGTTGCTCTTTTTCCTCGTCAGAACTCCAAAGCAAGCAGTGTCTTCACTAGGTCATGAGCAATGGCAGAACCAGAAATCAGGGGCATGAAGACCTAGAGGAGGTTGATGGGGAGGAAAGGAAGCACCACATCCAGTAAGCAGCCCCAACTGGGAGTGGCTGAGCATTAAAACATAAGAGCCCTCTTGGCACAATGGTTAACAGCTCGGCTGCTAACCAAAAGTTCAGCAGTTCGAATCGACCAGCTGCTCCTTGGAAATGCTATGGGGCAGTTCTACTCTGTCCTATAGGGTCACTATGAGTTGGAATCGACTCGACAGCAATGGGTTTGGAACACTAAGACGGCAGGTATGCTGTTAGTACAGTGGCTCCAGATACAGGTACAACCAGCAGGGCGTGAAGCCTGAGGAGTCCAGGTCTGAGGTCTGCATCAATGGGCTTCAGACCAAATGGAGAAAACTCCACAGTGCCTTGTGGAATCCAACCAAGTAAGTGCACACCAATTCTTGCCCTTTCTGTCTCTAACGGAAAGGGGTGAAAGTCAGTTTCACAGCTTCAGTTAGCCACGGTTTCTGAAAAGAAATCTAGTACTGAAATCCATCGATAAGTATCCTGAAAGAGATAGGAAGCTGATCACCTCATTGCATGCTGGGAAAAGACATTTGTCATGAACTTAATAAGTCCAAGAGAGAATTAATTGCTCTTCATTTCTATATTTCTATTCAGGCTTTTGCTCCTGAGTTGTGTTTGCACTCTGAGAAGTCCCAGGACAGCCACTTAGACAGTGATTAGATGTGTACTCCCAAAAGGTTGGTTCAGAGGTGTTTATAAATGGTCATCTTAGAAAAATGAATTCATGGAAAGATCAAAGAAAGGTTTTTGACTCCTGCATTAGGCAACGAGATGCTCTAGGCAGCTCCTGGAATGGCAGGTCCCCCTCATGACCCATGGCAGTCAACAGCCTGTATTGCCAAGTAGTATCCATTCCAGACCAGGCAGTAGTGTGGAAAGCAGCAAGCCCAACCACCATAGCCAGAAATCCAAGGCTTTTGGCAAGAGTCAGTGGTAAGTAGTTTGTGTATTTATCATCACAATTGAGAAACACTAAACCCAGTGTCAGGATATACCTAGCCCATAAGAAGGACTTTATGTAATACTGTACATATTTTTATTTCTAGTTCCATGACGTTTGTGTAATGACATAGGTTTAGCATCATTGTTGTGTACATTTATTGTAATTTCTACAATAATACTCATATAACCAGAGTTGAGTTGACTTTAGAGAATATTTACTACAAAACCTCAGAGGTGCCTGAGTTCTTTAAGTAAGATAATATCAGTGGAAAATTGGTTCATGGTAAATGCAAATGATATAAAGTATTGGTTCTTCTCTAATTTTGACAGACAGGAAAAAAAGAAATATTAGAAGAGAAAGCCTAGTGTCACATATATCTATGATACATTGTGGTATTACAGTAAGTGCAAACAAAATATGTATGTAAATAAATGGAATTAAATTTGCATAAGTTATACTTGAAAACATTGTCACTAGGGTGGGAATTCTCACCTTCATAGTGCAACACATTGATGTTTGTAAGATGTTTTGCAAGTAATTTATCAACTTTAATGAAGCCCTGAAGTTTCTGGATGATTTATTTCCCCCATACCCCTACTTAAAAACAAAACAAAACTCATGGATTCGGGGTTCTCTTTAAAACTTCATTCTCTCATTTGTCTTCTGAGGTTATTTATTGTTTAGGAAAGAAAAAAGCAGAATTGCTGCTCTCTGGTTGGGATTGAGCAGAGGCTGCTACGAGGTGTCCATTGAACACAACTCTTCTCACAGGGGAGGAGAACACTAGGACTACCATGGGCCAAGGGCCATGGGGCCATATTTAAACCCCATGGTCTGTTATTTTTATCAGGTCAGTAAGATGTTTGCATGGGAACTGCTTATTAGAAATGCCCTCTTGAGTTCAGCTGCTTTGCCTCTTATCAACCTCCTCTTTCTCTGTGGACCTGACCATAGTGCTGAATTTTGTATTTTTCCCTGTTCCACTGACTTCAGCAAGCTTGCTCATGAGGAGTTCTTGTGCCTCAAGCTGTGACTCTGTATTCAGTTTCAATAGACAGGGAGATCAGACGGCATTGGGAGTATCAGGCTCCATGACGGCAGGTCAATGACAGGAGGTACCCTCTCTCAAGGAGAGGTCATTAGTTGAGATCAGCCCTTCTTTCCACTGTGATACACATATTCATGAGAGAGAACTCAGTGGCTCCATGGCTGGCTATGGCATAGGTTGGGTAGGGATGTAATTTCCTATGAAACCCTATTGAACCACCCTTTTTTGAAACTTGAGTCTAAATATACTGGTTAAGAAATGCTGACTTATTGTAGCAGAGGCAAACACTGAGAAACCTTTCTTGAAAAAAGCAACATTCTTTCATGCTGGTGTTGCCCAAGAGTAGGTACTATTGGTAAAAGTGAAATAACCAATTATTCGACTCTATTAATAAAAATAATTCCAAGAAATTGATTTAACTGATGTTACCATTAACTTTTGTGTGTGTGTGTGTGTGTGTGTTGTTTTTTCGGTGCTGATTTCACTGAATTTTCAGGAAATTTAAAAAGTGTAGGTATTTCCCTATTTGGCCCTCTCTCTTATATTTCTTATTCCATAGAATTTTCTTTGCAGGATAGTGAAGTGGAAAGGTTATGGGCATCAGAGTCAGATCAACCTGATTTAAATTCCAGGCTCTGGTATTAGTAGCTGGGTAACATTGACCATCAGTTTTCTCACTTGAAAACCCTAAAAGAACACTTTCTGTCTAAGGTTGTTGTGATAGGTACATGAGATACATGAGTCGTGTGTGTAGAGTACGCAGCCCAGTGCCTGGTAAAGCATAAATACTCAATAAGCAGTAGCTATTATTATATTTGGGGCTGTTGTACCTGACAGTCACATTACTTTTGGACAGGGCTATGCAGGGATGGAGAGGAAGCTGAGGTTGTTTTGTTAAACTGCCTTCTTTTATTGGTCAATTGTATACGCGTATAAACAAAGGACTGGAGGGGCATGCACCAAACTGTTAACAGTGGTGCTGGGCAGAGTGTGGTGTGAAGGTAAAGATATTCCATTTTTGTTTCATGTACTTTGCCTTATGTGAAAACTTTCAGTGAGCGTGTGCTCCTTTTGAATTTTAAAATCCCATAAATTTTTCATTTAAAAAATATGACAGGACTCCTTGTACATTTCTTTATAATTTCCTATGAGTCTATTTATTTCAAAACAAAAATTTAAATATCTATAAATAAAATAAAATAGCAGCAAAAAGGGTTTGAGAGTTTGAAATTAAGGTTACCTATTCATATGCAATCTATCATCTGTCAATTTGTTGTACTTCAGAAGTGGAGGGTTGTGTGAGGCTATGATGCTGGAAGCCAAGACACTGGTATTTCAAATACCAGCAGGTCACTTTTCGTGGACAAGTTTCATCAGAATTTCCAGACTAAGATAGAGTAGAAAGAAAGGCCTGGGGATCAATTTCCAAAAATTAGCCAATGAAAATCTTCTGGATTACAATAAGGTATTGCCCAGAATAGTGCTGGGAAGATGAGTCCCTTAGGTTGGAAGACACTACACGATAGCTGCAATAATGGACTCAAACATACCAATTGTCATGAATATGGTGCAGGACCGGGCAATGTGTTGTTCTGTTTTACATAATGTTGCCATGAGCTGCCTTGATGGCAACTAACAACGCCATTCCTAGGTACTAGCATGCATATTCCAAGGGGTTAAGTGTCCAGAGTATAACAAAAACTGTGGTGCTAAGTGGTGCTTGTTAATGGTGGTGATGATTATAATGTTAATGATCATTTTAATGATCATGATGACAGTGATGATAATTCTCCATAGTTGCCATATACGAAGAGCGTGAGCATCAGGTATATGGAAAATGGATTGGACATCACTCCTCACTGGTCAGACCAAGGAAAAAATATTTCTTATGACTCTGATTCCACTACATACATATATTACATTCCATGAATATGTTCCTCAGGGACTGACTTCAACTAGTTAGAAGTCCTATTTCAAGGCATTTTAATAAGCATTATGTGCAACTTAAGAAACCATATTATTTTTAATCCCTTAATATTTAAAATTCGCTTTTACAATTTAGTGATCCAAAGACAGTGCATCAGTTACCTAAAGTACACTCTATGGAACCACCTTGCATGAGGGATTTCATTTCTTTCTACGAATTCATCTAGACATCTGCCTATAAAGGAGATCTTTGTATCTACTTTTTTGATATCATGGGTTAAGAGAAAATGTGTCAATGATTTTCAAGTGAGTAGACAGAGAAAATAAAGAATACCACACACATGTTGCATACTGGCTTTGTAAGAGGGCATGCATATTCCTTGCCCTCTAATGTTGATTTATTGTGAGACTTGGAGGTAATAATGCCTACAGCCAACCTAGAAAGAAAGGTGAGTATTGGCTAGCCACCTTCCTGGAATCTTTCTTGGATATATCTTCTACCATACTCCATATAAGTTTGGGGATCACAAGAGTCCCAACTTAGTCTTCCATTCTTCTCACTCTACCTATTCTCTTTGGTTGACTTCATGTATGTCCATGGTTTCAACAGCCACAATGACTCTTTGCAATTCTAGCCTGTCTTCTGAGGATGAATGCTGTATTTTCAACTACCTGTTGGGAATTTCCACATAGATATCCCACTCCGTATTACTCAAATTGCATCCACTATCTCCTACCCCCAGACCAGCTACACTTCATTTATTTCCTGTTTTAATTAATAATCTCACCATCCACCCAAAGTGATTTGTGTCCTTACCACCCATGGACTTAAAGTGCTCCAATCATGCTTCCTTCTCTGCACACTTCAGGGATTTTCTCCAAGTTCCATGGCCCTACATCGGCGGTTACAGACCATTTCATTTTGAGCTGGTTCTAGCTGTCAGATGATACTCTTGGACTAAACAAAGGTATTGTAACCTAATGCACATGGAGTATAAGGGACTCAGGAGAGGGTTCACAATTATATGATCTCTTTGAAATCATATGGAAGATTCTATGCTTGGGTATATGTTAATTTTCTGGATCTATAGTTTTAATCAGGAGCCCTGGTGGTGCAGAGGTTAAGTCCTCAGCTGCTAACCGATAATTTGAACCCACCAGCTGCTCCACGAAAGAAAGACGTGGCAGTCTGCTTCCATAAAGATTTTCAGCCTTGGAAACCCTATGGGGCAGTTCTACTCTGTCCTATAGGGTTGCTATGGGTCGGAATCAACTCAACAGCAATAGGTTTGGTTTTATTGTTTTTGTTGTTCATTTATGGTGCTTTAAGTGAAAGTTTATAGTTGAAGTTATTTTCTCATACAAAAATTTATACACACATGGTTATGTGATCCTAGTTGCTCTCTCTATAATGTGACAGCACACTCATCCTTTCTACCCCAGATTTCCCCTTTCCCTTCAACCAGCTTCTGTCCCTTTTTGCCTTCTCATCTCGCCTCCAGACAGGACCTGCCCATTTAGTCTCATGTATTTACTTGAGCTAAGAAGCACTCTCTTCACGAGTATCATTTTATGTCTTATAGTCCAATCTAATCTTTGTCTGAAGAGTTGGCCTCAGGAATGGTTTTAGTTCTGGGCTAACAGAGAGTCGGGGCCATGTCTTCCTGGGTCCCTCCAGTCTCAGTCAGACCATTAAGTCTGTCTTTTTAATAGAGTTTGATTTCTGCACGCCACTTTTCTCCTGCTCCATCAGGGACTCTCTTTTGTGTTCCCTGTTAGGGTGGTCATTGGTGATAGCCGGGCCCCATCTAGTTCTTCTGGTCTCAGGCTGTTGGAGTCTCTGGTTAATGTGGCCCTTTCTGTCTCTTGGGCTAATATTTTCCTTGTATCTTTGGTGTTCTTCATTCTCCTTTGCTCCAGATGGGATGGGACCAATTGATGCAACTTAGATGGCCACTTGATAACTTTTAAGACCCCAGAAACCACTCACCAAAATGCGATGCAGAACATTTTCTTAATAAACTTTTTTATGCCAGTTGACCTAGATCCCTTGAAACCATGGTTCCCAGAACCCTGCCCCTGCTACTCTGTCCCTCAATGTGTTTGGTTGTATTCAGGAAACTTCTTAGCTTTTGGTTTAGTCCAGTTGTGCTGACTTCCCCTGTATTGTGTGTTGTCCTTCCCTTCTTCTAAGATAATTCATATCTACTGTCTGGTTAGTGAATACCCCTCTTCTTCCCTCCCCACTCTCCTAACCATCAAAGAATGTTTTCTTCTGTGTTTAAACCTTTTCTTGAGTTCTTATAATAGTGGTCTAATACAATATATGTCCTTTTGTGACTGACTAATTTCACTCAGCATAATGCCTTCCAGATTCATCCATGTTATGTTTCACGGCTTCATCGTTGTTCTTTATTGTTGCACAATATTCCATTGTGTAAATATACTGTAATTTGTTTATCCGTTTGTCCGTTGATGAGCACCTAGGTTGTTTCCATCCTTTTGCTAATGTGAACAGTGCTGCAATGAATATGGGTGTGCATATTATCTATTCATGTGACAGCTCTTATTTTTCTAGGATATATTCCAAGGAGTAGGATTGCTGGATCATATGGTACTTCTATTTCTAACTTTTTAAGGAAGCCCCAAATCGATTTCCAAAGAGGTTGTATAATTTTACATTCCCACCAGCAGTGTATAAATTTTCCAGTCTCTCCACAACCTCTCCAACATTTATTATTTTGTGTTTTGGATTAATGCTAGCCTTGTTGGGGTGAGATTTTAGCTTATCATAGTTTTGATTTGCCTTTCTCTAATGGCTAATAATTGTGAGCATTTCCTCATGTATCTATTAGTCACCTGAATGTCTACTTTGGTGAAGTGCCACTTCATATCCTTTGCCCATTTTTTAATTGGGTTATTTGTCTTTTTGTTGTTGAGGTTTTGCAGTGTATTTTAGATTTTAAAGATTAGACACTGATCGGATTTGTCATAGCCAAAAACTTTTTTCCCGGTCTGTAGGTTGTCTTTTGTTTTTTGATGAGCATAAGTGTTTGATTTTTAGGAGCTCCCAGTTATCTAGTTTCTCTTCCGGTGTTTTGTGCATTGTTAATAACGTTTTGTATTCTGTTTATGCCATGTATTAGTGTTCCTAGAATTGTCCCTATTTTTTCTTCCATGATCTGTATCATTTTAGATTTTATATTTAAGTCTTTGATCCACTTTGAGTTAGTTTTTGTGCATGGTGTGAGGTACGGGTCTTGTTTTTTTTTTTTTTTTGCAGATGGATATCCAGTTATGCCAGCACCATTTGTTAAAGAGATTGTCTTTTCCCCAATTAATGGACTTTGGGCCTTTGTCAAATGAATTCACGACTGGATTCTCAATATGTGCCATTGGTCTATGTATCTGTTGTTGTACAAGTACTAGGCTGTTTTGACTACTGTGACAGTATAATAGGTTCTAAAATCAGGTAGTGTGAGGCCTCCCACTTTGTTCTTCTTCCTTAATGCTTTACTTATCTGGGGCCTCTTCCCTTTCCATGTGAAGTTGGTGATTTGTTTCTCCATCTCTTTAAAAACTGCAGTTGGAATTTGGATCAGGATTGCATTGTATCCGTAGATTGTTTTGGGTAGAATTGACATTTTCACGATGTTGAGTCTTCCTATCCATGAGCAAGGCAGGTTTCTCCACTTATGCAGGTTTCTTTCAGTTGCTTGCTGTAGTGTCTTGTAGTTTTTCATTGTACAGGTCTTTTAGATCTCTGGTTAGATTTATTCCTAAGTATTTTATCTTCTCGGGGGCTATTGTAAATGGTATTGATTTGGTGATTTCCTCTTCAAAGAGGAATCCAACTGATTTTCGTATGTTTATCTTGTATCCTGAAACTTTGCTGAAATCTGTTAGTTCCAGTAGTTTTCTTGTGGATTCTTTGGAGTTTTCTGTGTATAACATCATGTCATCTGCAAATAGAGATACTTTGACTTCTTCCTTACCAATTTCAATGCCCTTTATTTCTTTTTCTAGCCTAATTGCTCTGGCTAGGACCTCCAGCACAATGTTGAATAAGAGTGGTGATAAAGGGCATGCTTGTCTGGTTCCTGTTCTCAAGGGGAATGCTTTCAAACTCTCTCCACATAGGATGATGTTGACTGTTGGCTTTGTATAAACGCCCTTTATTATGCTGAG